TTTGAGAAATTAGGAGAGATTTGCATATTAGTAAACTGGAGTGAAAAAGTGGTGTGGTGGCTATTTTTGGTACTGACAGAGTGATGTAATATGCTTTCTTGATATACTAGGAAACACACAGTGGTAGATTTTATTTGGGAGCATTTCTACAGGTGCAGGTACATGCAGTGAGATAAAGCTTCACAGTTTTATTGATAATGAATACACTGTAGCAGAAAGGACTATTTGTCCTGGCCAAATGCCGATTACAAGTGTTGTTTGTCAAAAGAAGAAGAGAGGCTTGTGCGCCATCTCAGGCCTAGCTTATCCTAGCTAGCCGGAGTTATTCAGTGTATGTGCACGTCTGTGTTTCCACATCTGTCTGACCCAATGACAGTTAGGTCCCGCTCTTCTTCCTCTGCCCGGTCTTCCACAAGAGCGCAGACTGCCAGCCATGTCACTTAGTCTCAGTGTATTGACCCATTTCTCTGGCTGATAGGAAGCACTGCAGTGCCCCGATCATTCAAATCACTTAAATGGAACACTCGCCTCCGTGATTGTTTCCCAGCCCTGGGGGGCAAATTCACTTTATGTGGGGCATTTAGCAAACTCAATAGGCAGGAGCTAATGCTATTTTGCTTTTGGATGCAGGGCAAACGCCGGCTAGTAGCTGCTTTTTTGTTGATGTTTCACATTTGAGGCAAAATCGTTCATGTTGAAATCTATAGCAATCTCTTAATTGTCCATAAATGGATTTGCCGCAGGCACAGGCATATATTCCTGTACTGCAGTCTTTGTCATTGAAATGCATCGCATCTGGACCTTTTAAACTTATCGCCACACTGTCGCATTGTGTGAAGGGAACCACGTTTTTTTCACACCCCGGATCCTCGAGGACCTTTTCCACTGGTTCTCTTTACAGAGAAAAGTCTTTGCGCTGAAAACACAAAGTGTTTATCTTGAGCTGTAAAAATCGGCCCATCTGTAGCCGTCAGCCATGTAAACGCTGTCAGAAAAAATCATCCAGCCACCAATCCACTGCTCTTCTCAATGCTAAATAATGGATGACGGAAGCCTATGAATCCATGAGCAAATGGTCTTTATTCACGTCTCAGTGCACACATCCTACTGACGCACCGTCCATTCCCCTCATCCTCTGCTGCACACATTTTAACTGTGCTTTGTGCGTGTGCGTGCCTAAGTCTATATTCACACTAACTGACAACTCAACTCAAGATGGCTTGACCCCCTACATCCCGATGACCAACCTTCAGCGTTTAAATATTTCATGACTAAAAATAATATTGACACTTGAAACAAAAAAACTTTGTGAAATGTAGCTTTTCTGTCTCCGCTATGAATAATTGACTGCGGCTCTCTCAGTGTGGAAGGTGTAGCGTGGTGTGCAGACAGGCCTTCTGCGAGTCTCACTGGACCGAGCCTTGTCGAGTTGTTGCAGGGTACACTAACAAAGCACCACTTTAAAAACCCTGGTGTCCATTAGAAAAGAATGGAAAATTATAATGCATTCAGCCAGGACATCCAGTAAAAGCAACAATGCACTGTCGTTGACTGATATAGTGCTTATATAGTGGGCTGCTGCTTCAGAAAACATGCTTTTTATGCTCCGGTATTTTTGGTCTTGTACAGCTTTGTTTTACTGGAAGAACAAAGATAATGCTTTGCAGTGAGGTGGAACGACAGATAGTTAAGAGTTGATTCGTGGCCAAAATTGAAAGGACGAGTGATTACAGCAGGAAAACACAGCTTAGGTGTTCCACACATGTGGATAACATGACTATTGAGCAGCTCAGTTTTGTCTAAAAGAAATCTAAAGAGATTTTACTGATGACTTTAAAGCCTTTACTTTAAAGCTTGCACCGTGGTATATCCGCCTGAGGCCCAGCCTATTCATTTTTGTCCTCTGTAATGGACATGTGTTTTGGTCTATATCTTTTGACTTATTTGAGTTACCTGCTAAGTCCTGGTGTGCTCAATAGAGGACATGCTGGCCTTTCCAATGATATCCCATGTGTGTGGGTGGCCTATTTCCAGGAAATCACAAAAAAGGTTAAACTGAAAGATGCTTTTTCCTCAGTTCTCAGGAAGATATCTCGGGTCTTCTGACATAGTCCATGCCCACTGGTCACCTAGCAGGTCCTCGGCTGAGGTTCTGATCAGAACCCATTCTTTGGAACGGCCTCTGTAAGGAGACGAGCTCCTCCTTGGCAGGCTCCTTTTTTAAATCTCTCATAAAGACAGAATTTTATAAACAGGCTTTTTCTGTTCTTCCACTTTAAGTTAATTTTATGTTG